CCCCGGACCCCGCCCCGAGCCCCGGACCCCGCCCCGAGCCCCGGACCGAGCCCCGGACCCCGCGGCGCCTGCCCCCGCCCCGCCCGCCACCCCCGCCCCGCTCCCCGAGCCCCCGCCTCCGCCCCGCCTAGTTAAACTGCACTTCCGCCGCGGGCCGACTCGCCGCTGTCGCACCTGCATTTCCGCCCCACTTATACCCCGCCTGCCCAGCAGAGCTTAGGTCCAGTTGGCCCAGGCCCACCTGCCTACTCTCGCCCTTCCCAGTTCCCCCTTAAACCCTGCTTTCCCTGATCGTGGGCAGGCCCCTGCTCCCACCCAGTCTTTGTACTGACTTTCACCCTGGCCCAGACCCTCTCTGTCTTTTGGTTGACCTTCTCCCAGACTCACCTTCACTGTCCCTCTCACCACCCCTGTTCCCCTTCAAGTGTCCCACTCGCTACTGTTGTCCTTCTCCCAGGCTGGGTTCTGACCCTGTCTCCTTTCCTACCACAGATCTTCAATCTGGCCCTGATGTTCTCACTTTTCCTCTCCTTACCATTAGCCTTCTCCCTGGCCCTGACGCTCTACCATTGACCTTCTCCTTGACCAGGGGCATGATTTTGGCCATAATCCCTAACCTCCCCTGACCCTAGTTTTTGTCTTGACTTTGGCACTGCCCCTGGTCTTTGCCCTGTCCCTTACTTTGCTCTCATTTTCCTGGGCTTCCACTCTCATCCCGAACTTAAACCTGACCCTCCTCCTCCCTCTGCCTAGTTTTGCCCTCATCTCAGGCCCACCCCTCAACTTTACCTTTGGGACTAGTCTTCATCCATGCAGGGGCAGTTTCCTCCACCTTGACCCTTCCTTGTCCTAGTCTGGGTACTGATCTTGGACATAACACTGTCTTGGTCCTGGATCTTGCCGGGTTCAGATCAGATTTAGCTTATGGGTAAAGTTTGGGGTGACATTCAAGGTCAAGTTCAAGTTCCGGGGTCATTGCTGGTATGTGAGGGTATCGCCAGGGACAAAGCAATGAGAGTAACAATCAGAATGAGGGTGTACCTAGTCTAGGGTGAAGTATGTGGCAGGTGAAGGATGATGGTGAGAGGTCAGGGCCATGGTTATAGTTAGAATCATTCAAGATCAAAATCAATGTGAAGGAAGTTTTATAGCCAAGGTTAAGTTCTAAATCAGGTTAAGGTCATGATAAAGTGTGGGGGTCATGATCAGGATTGGAGTTCTGGTAAGGGTCAGAGTCAGTGACAGGGTGAAGGTTAAGTTTAAGAATAGGGTAGGTCAGGATCAGGATGATGGTCACTGTCAGGGTGAACTAAGGCAGAGAGTTGGATCTAGGCTGATGGTAAATATCCAGGATAACCATGTATTTAACGTTCAGGATTAGGGTTAGTGTCAGATTCAGGTTCAACATGAAGATAATGTCAGGGTCCAGCTGAATTAGATGCCAGGTCAGGTTAAGCATGAGGTTAATCATCAAGTTTAAGGTCAATTAAAAGTCAAGGTGGGTATATTTCTATTACTGCCTTAACAAGTTACCGCAACCTTGTGTCCTGTTAAAACAACAATTATTATCTTAACAGCTGTAGATCAGAAGTTTGGTTTGAGTCTTATTAGGCCCAAATCAAGGTATCAGGTGGGCTGCATTCCTTACTGCAGGTTCTAGGATAGAATTCATTTTCTTGGTTATTAAGGTTTGCACAATTCAGTTTCTCATGGTTTTAAGAATGAATTTCCATTTCCCTGCTGACTGCCAGTGGAAAGCCATTCCCAGCTCCTAGGGGCAACCTGGATTCCTTGGCTGGGGGCTCCCAAGTCCATCTTCGAATTAAAAAAAAAAAAACAGTAATTGGGTCAAGTCCTTCTCATCCTTCCATTTTCTCTCTCAGTGCAGCAAACAAAGGCTCCTGCATATGATTAGTTCAGACCCACCTACATAATCCAGGATGCTCTTCCATCCCAAGGCATATATCCTTTATCACATCTTGAGCAAAGCTCCTTTATCCATGTATCTTAGACCATTTTCTGTAACTATAACAAAATATGTCAGACTGGGTACTTTATAAGGGTTTATTTAGTTCACAGTTTTGAAGACCACAAACCCAAGATCAGGTGGTGTCATCTGTTCATCCTATGGTAAGGGCCCATAGTGAATGTCATCATGGTGGGAGCACATGTGGAAGATCACAATGCAAGGCAGGAGGCCAGCAGGACTCACGGGGCCAGGCTTCCTCCTTTATAACTTGCTAATGGAGTCTAACTGGAGTCCCACAATAACTGCATTAATTCCTTGTAAGAGTGGCATTCCCAATGACCCAAGCACCTTCCACTAAGTCCTTCTTCTTAAAGGTTCCACTATTTCAAAATGGCCATACTGGGAACCAGGCTTCTAGCACAAGAACTTGTGAGGAATACACTCAAACCATAGCACCATTATAAGACAACATAGTCATGGATTAGGACACAGGGGTGATATTATTTTGCCTACCAGTGCAGTTAAGATCTCAGGATGAAAATCAATGACCAGTTTGTGGTTAAGGTCAGGTTCAAATCTAAATTCAATGTAATGATGAATCATGGATAGGAAGCAGTCTCAAGGGTCAACATAATGAGGGTCAGTATCAGGGTGCAGTTCAGTTTTAGGGTTAAAAGCCAAGTTCAAAGTCAAGTTTAAGATTTTGATGGGATTTAAAGTAGGTTAAGTGTAAAGGTCAAGTGAAAGGTTCTCCCTGAAGGTCAGTGTTAAGGATGAGGAAATGGCTACACAGGCAAGAATAGTGTCAGGGTGAAAAACAGGTTCAATTTCAGTGCCAAGTTGATGGTCAGCATCAAACAAAGGTCATGTTAAAGGTGAGATTAAAATTGAGGTCTGAGTCAAGGTCAGTGTCTGAAGCAGGGAGCAGGGGTCATGATCAAGGTCAAAGTCGATTAGTTTCACTATGTATATAATTCAGTCAAGTTCAAGGTTACAGTGGGTCAGGACGATGGTCATTGTCAAGGTGGGGATTCAGTGTAGGGGCAGAGTGAGGTTGAAGTTCAAAGTCAAACTAACAATGAGTGTGCTATTCAAGATAATGTCCTGAGATACTGTCAAATTCAGAATCATGATTAGTGTGAGATGTTTATTGTCAGGTCAAGGTTAGGGTGCATGTGAGGGTCTAGTTAATGTCAGGGTCAGGATCAGAGCTATGGTGAACATCAGTCTAAGATGAGTCATTGTCAAGGTAAAGATCAAGTTCATAGACAAGTTTAACTTCTAGGTCAAGTAAGGTCAGAGTTAGGTCAGTGCCAGGGTTAGAGCAGAGCCATAATCAGGGTAAAAGACGATGTGAGAATCACTTTCAGGTTTATGATAAAGTCAAATGTTAAATTTGAGATCAGGTGTTAATAAGAATCTGGGTTTGGGCCTGGGGATGTGGCTCAAGTGGTGCTGAGAGCCATTGCCAAGTAAGAATGACGCATGGCATGACCCAGGTCATTTGCAGTGACATTGCATGAAAGGTGACCTTGCTCAAGGACCAGGGCGGATCCAGGTTTAGGGCGGATCAGGGTTTAGGGCGCTCCTTGGGTTCAGGGCGGTTCCAGGTTTAAGGTGTACCCTGCTGGGAATAGGGCGTATCCTGCTGCCTCAGGCGCGCCTGCTCCTTGAGTTCCTGTTGAGTTCTCTCGGGATTCAGAGAGTATTTTGGGATACAGAGCCCAGTGGAGGTGTGGATTTTGCCCAGAACGTGTTTGTAGAGTGCCAGTGTGAGTTCGGGAATAAAGAGTTGCTGTTTGAATCTACAAGGTGTGTGGTGGCTCGTGATTTTGTGCCCAGCCAGACTGTGGCAAAGTGGTAGTGCGCTCGCCTGGCATGCGTGTGGCCCGGGTTCGATCCTCAGCACCACATACAAAGATGTTGTGTCCGCCGAAAACCAAAAAATAAATATTAAAATTCTCTCTCTCTCTCTCTCCCCCTCTTAAATAAAAATACCATAAATAAAAAAAGAATCTGGGTAATGTGTCAAGAGTCCAGCAAAGCATTGTGTGAGGGTGAAAGTATAGGTCAAGGTCAGAGAAGCCTGAAGTCCATTCAATCAAGGTTAGGGTTGGTCATGTTTAAGTTAAGTATAAACATAAGGTTGTCTCAGATTCAGGTTAAATGTTAGGTTCAGCCTCAATCAGAAAATCAGGGTGAAGGTCAGATTCAAGGTCAATCAAAAGTTAGGATGGTGTCAAGTTTAGGGGGTTGTATGGATGTGTTTGGTTGAAAGTCAGTGGCCAGGGTGGGTCAGTATCTGGATTAGCACCAATGTAAAACTGAAGTGCAGTAATAGGGTCAGGTTCCAATCCTAGATCCAGATGGTCAGATTGGTGATCAAATACCCAAAAAGAATGGAGTAGCCGGCCGCAGTGGTACACCTGCAATCCCAGCAGCTCAAGAGGCGGTGGCAGGAGGATCAAAGCCAGCTTCAGCAAAGGCCAGGCACTAAGCAGTCAGTGAGACCTTGTCTCTAAATAAAATTCAAAATAGGGCTGGGGATGAGGCTCAGTGATCACTGAGTTCAATTCCCAATACCCCCCCCACCAAAAAAAAATGAGGTTCAAGGTGAAGTTCCAGGTCATTGTAAGGTTGAATGTGAGAGTGGTCAAATTTATGGTCTAGATATGAAAAAAGCTCATGTGTGAGACAATGTAAGAAAGCTTAGAGGTGAAATAATCGGGTTATGAGAACCTTAATCATTATCAGTGCATTGATCCTCAGGGGTCATAACTTTAGGCAGATAGAGTATGGATAAGGAGGTACGTCATTTGGGGCATATCTGGGGGATACATATTTTGTCCTTGGTGAGAGAATTCTGTTTCCTGGAGCCACGTCTGGAGCAGCTTTCCTCGGCCACACTCTTCTGCCATATGTTCTGCCTCACTCAGGCCCCAAGGAATGGAGTCAGCTGTCTATGGACCAAGACCTCTGAAATGTTGGCGCTAAATAGACTTTTCCTCCTTCAA